GTTTATCCCAAGGAACTCCAAGAGACAATGCAAAATCAGTTCAGCTATGTTTATTAGCTACAACCTCTAGCAAGAATCTAAGACCCTTTAAGGACCTTAAAGTTCAGGTAGGTATATATGGGTGAAGGCACTCTTTCAGGTAACAGGGCCTAAGTCATTTAGGGCTTTATAGGTCAAAACCAGAACTTTGTATTAGTCTGGAAATGAACTGACACAATATGTTCAGTGAAGCAAATACTATTGCAGGGACCCAACATGTCCCTTGGGTGGCTTTCTCTAACCAGAAGGGTCATGGATCCTAGTAACAAGTGGCTGGGTAAATCGATCTAAGGATCCTGTCCTCTTGCTCAAGAGTTACAGGCTCAAACTCATCCCAGGTAACCACACAAGATCTTGCTTCCATCACCTTGACAGGACTTGTCCAACTTTGAATGAATCTGAACAATTTTATCTGCAGATGCCTAGAATATTTCTTATAGAGGTCATCTGGGTGATCCTGTGGCTTGTTTCTCCCTGGCAAGGAACAAGTCACTTTAAAAAAAAGCTGCTGGACAGCTATTTGCAGATGTGATATCAGCAGGAAAATAAGTGTGTTTTGCCACCCATATCGTCATGATATAATCTCTAATATGGGGTCTTACTCATTTGGATTCACTCTTTGTCTTCCTCCAATGGTGCTCTGGGTGTCCCATTAGGACCCCATGGGGTTTGGTAGTTGCTTTGGGTGGACCAATCTTATAGGTCCTATAGCAGCATAGGATCCATACCTCCTTTTATAGCTAAAGATAATTTTTGGAGCCCAATACTTAAAGACAGCTAGTGCATAGAAAGTTATATCAGGAAGAAAATATATAATGTATGGTTTCTTAAATAGGTAAAAAAAATCATTTTAATTGCTAAATTAAAAACAATGTAGGTCATGGTAAAATTTGAAAATAATGTTATTACAATAAGAAATTCTTTAGCCCCAGATTTTTAATTTTCTTGGACTCTCCCTTTTTTAGAAATGTTTTTAAATTGATGTTTTATTTATATATATTTATGGTTTTAATGTTCTGTGTGAGTCACCCAGAGTTCCCCCATTGGGGGGA